CCAGATTGCAGCAAAGTCCCACTGGTGCAGATTGGACATATCTCACATCGTCCGGTCCTCCAAGAGCACACTGTGGGACCATGTTGTAGATAATAAAATGACTACATCACAGCTTTATTTGTCTCGCAATTCCCCTGGGGAGGAGTGTGTAGATTGTTTAAGTAATCAGGGTCATGCAGTCATCGAGGTGGTGCTATACTCGAAGCTCTCCGCCCGACTGGTGGCACAGGGAAAAGCCAAACACCGTTCATCTGCACACACTGCGATGACACACAGCCGGGTGAATATTGGCAAAGTTTTCCATAATAGTTATTGTTTTCTGTCACTTACACTGTCATCTGTAGCCTATAGTTTGACTAGTTAGCTTCCTACGATCTTAATCATTTTAACATGAGTCAGTTTGACATCATGGATATCTCCTTCAAAGAGATACTGTAGACCCCTCTATCTGCTTCTCTCTGAAATCACGTTTTAATTTTTCCAGAAATGTGATAATATTTCTTCAAGGAGTGCAGTTCACGATAGTGTGGGCTCCATGCTTGCTCCAACAGCTTGACGGACCATCACAAAGGTAAGGGGTCGACTCAAGTCAGACCCCGAGTCACAGATTTGATGACTCAAGGCTCAGCTTGACAAAATCAAAAAAGACTTGCAACTGGGCTTAGATTTTAACAGCAATGACTTGATACTTCACTTTGACTTGCCCTATTTTGACTTGAAAATACTTGACAGCTTCCCCACAAATTAAAATGTATGTCATTTAAAAAATGTGCCATGAATCAATTCATGTCCCTTCATGTCCTGAATCAACTAACAATATTCATTCCCAGTATTTTGACACTTAATTTTTCTGATCCACTTTGTGTGAACCAATCTGAAATCCAGTCGAGTTACAGAAGGGATCCATGAAGAACTAATTTTATTTTGCTCAGCACCAGGTGGAAGAAATTATACCAAAGATAATTTTGTTCACATACAAAAACTAATTGGTGGTCAACAAAATTTTGCAGTATGCAAAACATGAAGGTCAAAGATCACAGACGGAGACACAACAACTTTCAATAAATTTGTTTGAACAAATGAGTGCAAATTTTAAAAAGCATTCATGATTATTGTAAATTTAATATATTATTACTCGTTTGTTGAAATGGCATTATATTTGGTGAAACGCACATAATGACTTGTATGGGACTTGGGACTTGAGTGCAAAGACTTGAGACTTCTTTGTGACTTGCAAAACAACAACTTGTTCCCACCTCTGCTTTCTACTCATTATGATTGGAGGAAAATGACCTAAATGTAGATTTACATGCGTCGTGTGTATTCACTCATATAATTTATGCTGCATTTGGTCAGCAGCTCATGAATCACAGGAACTCCTTACAACTTTGAAAAATGGATTACTCTCAAAGCTGATTTTTAAAATGTTCAGGGGGAAATTTATGTAACAGCTTTCGTCTGTGTGACAGGAACAAAAATGTCAAATTTGTTACACATCACTGCCTTCCAAAAAACTCTGACATGATTCAATCACTGGTTTTGAAATGATGATTAACACAACTGTCTGCCATAAATCTGATTTATTACATTTTCACACCCTTAACAAAGTGAGTCCTTTATTACACAGCCACCAACAGGAAATAATTAGTTTATAAAAACTGTGAGATAGCAAAACCTTTACATGTGAATTTGGTCATCTGACAAAGTCACAGCTGTGATTTAAAAGGGAAACAAATATTTCTGCACTATAAACAGCTTATAAGATAATTTATGTTTTGTTTTACTGATCTGGGATTTTACTTCAGCAGATGCTCTTTCACGTACACAACTTTTACTACTGAGGAACCAGACATAATGTGGATGAGTTGTTTTCTCCCACTTCCAGTAAACGCCTGCTCCCTTCATCATTATTAGAGCTCTGAACTGGATAAAACTCGGCTCTTTACCTCTTTCATCTCCTTTATCACCATCTCTCTGCTAACTCACTCCTCTGAAGTCACTCCTGGCCTTGTTCTCAGTTCCTTTAATTGAGTTTGGTAGAAAAACAAATGGTCTGAGAAGGGGGCGCTCACGCAAAGGTGGGAGCCATAAATCCCCCTGGTGATTTAGGGTGCCCACCCAGTCCCCAAACTCCTCCTTTACAAAGGTCCTCAGGGAGGCTCACCACGAAAAGACACTTTTTATCTCCTCTTTATGGGGGAAATTGCGTTCATAGTTTCAGCGAGGACATGACATTATAAAAAGGTCTGTAAATAAGTCTGAGTGCATTGTGGGAGGGCCTGGAAGAATGACAGAGTAAGTGCATCCAGGTTGAGAGGTCAGGGAAGTCTTGAGAGGAGGCTGCATGCTGCACTTGAGCTGACCCTCAGCTGTGTGTCATCTCAAGGCTCCTCACTGCTGTAGCCTCGGGGCAGAGACAGACAGCGGCTTTCTGAGGAACTCAAATCTGCACCACAAGACGAAACCGAAACACTTTGATAGATTTTTTTCATGCATGTTTTATCTCTTTTACTAAACTCTGTACAGTTTACTGCTGATCTTTTTCACAGATATACCACACTTTTTAAAATATTAACCATGCAGGCTGCCACTGGTTTTCATGTGTGCCCTGTGTGCTAACTATTTGTGGGCAACTAAATCAGGGCACAGTGTAGCCCACTCTGCAGAGTCATTAATTATATACTAAGGTTTATCAGCACAAATAAGACACGGATAGGTAAGATTGCAAAGAAGCCTATAAACCCACAAATGTTTGAGCATTAAATCAAAAACAGAGTGCACCAAGCTGCCTACACAGGGCCGAGTCCTCATCAACAAGTTACCCATCACATACAGATGAGCACAATAATTTCTCGATATAATTAGGACATTAAATGCGAAGGTCACATTTTAGCAACCCAGCACACATGAATAATAGCCTGATTTTATGCATGATCCATGATGGTAAAGATACAGAGAAAGAGTGTACACCCTGGACACAGGTAATATGTCAGACTGAATTTATTTTATTTGTGTCAGAGATGCAGTTATCATTGTGTTGATACAGTAAATACATTAATACATTGTGTTCATACAGTTAAAAATGTGATATTGGGGCGCCCAGTAGCTCACTTAGTGGGGCAGGAACGCCATGCACAGGGGCTTTGTCCTTGCCGTAGCAGCCAGGGGTTCGGTTCCGACCCATGGCCTTTTGCTGCATGTCATCCCCTCTCTCTTCCCCTTTCACACTATCAATGCCCTATTGATTAAAGCTTTAAAAAATATCTCTGAAAAAAAGGTTTCAGGCTATAACGTGATATGACAATTGACAGTTAGCATACCGCGTACATTTTCTCATCTACGATACGATACGATACAATACGATACGATATACTTTATTGTCTGCTTGCACAGAAATTTGTCTTACGGCAGAGCAGGCCCCGAATGCAAAAACAAGAGAAAAAGAAACTTACAGAAAATAACACCACAAAAACATACAAGATGATACTGAAAGAAAATTCAACTGGTCAGAGAATTTTACCTTTATATTACTCATTTTTAAAAGGGAGGCTTTTTACACATAGTTCCATTTAAAAACTGGTTTTAAATTACAATTATAGTTATAAAATGTTTGTCCAACCCAAAGTAACCCCTCCATTTTCATTCCTTTAAGGGTACAAACTGATAATAATAATTCTGTGATACTGATATTTTCTGAGACGGTTATCATACCTTGAAAATCTCATACCGTTGCAAACTTAGTGATATGATTTAAAAGGTTTTGCACTGAGCTACCACACAATGATAATGTCTCTTTGACCCAAAAGCAGATGGGATGTTCACAGTGATTAATTATTTATCTCAAGTTAGGTTCATCTTCATATTTTAGAGCAATGACTGCTTGTGAAGGAGGAAAATCACATTCAGATATCATAAACATAAGATGGTCAGCAGTGATGTCAAATCTACATCATTTATAGTCAAAGGGTTCATGTGTAAAAGGATACGTCTTATATCACAGTAAGAAAGAATCATGTAACAGATAATGAGAAGGACAATGTCATAAGAGTATTATCCAATGAGCAGATGCAACTGGTTAAGTAATTGTGGGAACATATGGCTCAACCTGCTCAGTTTCTGTCAACAGCACTAATCTCCACTGCTCAGTGAAGTAACCTATTTATTAGAAAGTGGTTCTGCATGTCAACAAGGGGAAGATTGTCCTCAAAGGAGAGGATAGGAATGATTTATTATGCAGGCAAGATTGTTTGAGAGTTACATATGGTCCCAGTCCCAGTCAATAAACATGATCCTTTTATAGTGTGATAAATAAAACTGAGGCAGCTTTTGTTAATGCAAAGATGTTGTGGTATTTTTCTGTCTTAATAAAGTTAAGGCTGTAGAGTTGCTCTGAATGGGACATAAGATTTCTCAGTCATCACAGCACGGTTTATATGGTGTCTTTACTATCAACAGTATGCAGTGGCCACCAGGTTTTCAGCTTTGTAGGACAGGTAGTAGATAGTAAGCATGGACTCTCTGACTCTGGCAGGATCGTAGAAGTGTTGGGAAAAAGTCCAGATATAGAGGCTAATAGAAAGTTGTACTGTAGATGGTGTTTCCCCCTCTTTAAGCTGCAAGATGTTCTTCACATGGTGACATTATATGCCAAAAATTGTTGAAGGGATAGTCTGAAATTTTTGGGAGATATGCTTTCATACTTTGTTGCTGAGATTTAGATGAAAAGATTGGTACCACTCTTGTGTCTATAGTCAGCAAGCAGTGTTTCTGTTTTAACCAGCGCAGCATTTGTAGCACTGATTTAGCAGCCCAGGAAACTCACTGACAAACTGCATGTGTTAATCATCTCACATGATTGCGACTCCAGTGAGTGAGACGTATATACGAGAGAGACGAAACGAGATAAAAGTCGGAAAAAGAGAGTTGGAGAAATGTAATGTCATGTTCTAAAGAGAGAAAGGTAGACAGTGAAAACAGCTTTTAATCAAGAATAGACAGACTTTTACATGTTCATTCTTCCCATGGGCAGATCAAAACCCTTATGTGTCATAAATTCCCACACCGTGGCGATTATAAAAAAATGGCAATGTGCACAATGTGTACAAGACAAAGCAAAGAGCACTTTCTTTAGCAAACATACACAGTCACATGTGAGCTGAGAGAACAGAAAATAAAGCATTTTATATGGCACTGAATCATAAGGCTGATTAGGGGGTCATCACGTAATGTCGACGGTAAGCGTATATTCCTAGGATGGCTTAGGTGTTACCCTCTACCTTACTCTGCCTCAGCTTAGTTCACCCTGACATTCTTATTCAAACCCTCACCAGTCTCACTCCTCTTGCCTTAACCTGACCAACCAACCAGAGCAATAAGTACTGGCCAATCAAAGGCCAGTCATGCCTTCACTATCCCAAGACATGCATATTTTCGTACAGTAAATATGAAGCTACAGCCAGCAGGTGGTTAGCTTATCCTAGCATAACGACTGGACAAAGCTAACAAGGAGCTTTCCAAAGATAAATCCACCTATCTGCACCTCCGAAGCTCGTCTTTTTCAAAGACTTAACACGATGCCCTGTGGTTTTACAGCAGTTTATGAATTTGATTATTTCTTGGCTTGGCGCAGTAACTTCCGGGACTCCAGGAAATCAGTGGAAGAAAGTTATAAATGATGGCTGGTGGATTTTGTCGCCTTTGCACAGAGACAGGCTAGCTGTTTCCCTCTGTTTCCAGTCTTTATGCTAAGCTAAGCTAACAGGCTGCTGGCTGTAGCTTCATATTTCCCGTACAAAAATGAAAATGGTATTAATCCTCTCATCTTGTAAGAAAGCGCATAAGTGTATTTCTGTAAAAGTATCCGATCATTTGATGCACAGACGATAAACCTAAAACATTATTAAGGCCTTGCACACCGGGGCCGTTTTTTTCACGTGATTAATTCTCATATCAGTATATTTTTTCGAACTGGTGTTTTTTTCCACACAGAACACGAATGTTATGCAAGGAAAAAGTGCCATCATTTTATTTTGGAACAGGTCCATTTTTCTGAGCTTTGGCACCAAATAAAAGTATCAGCGAATCACATTGTGCAGAGCAGATGTCACGTGACCACGTCTAGATAAAGGCAGACCTGTTGTCACTGTTGCAAATTGGCATTACTGCCGGTGTGGATATTTTTGGTGCAAAATATTTGAGCATTAGGCATTCACGAGTCGTTTATTCGTCACATTCCAGTGTGTAAAGGCCTTTGAAATGGAACAAAGAAACAAATAGGTGTTATTGAAATTGTAGCTTTTAATTGTATTAATAATAAGTGTGCATTCATGAAGAGAGAGGTTTGTAACTGTATATGTTCAGCAGTTCAGGATGCCACAATTAGCCAGATGAATGTCTGTGTCTGTTGTCATGTTAAAGACTTAAATACTGAATACTGGATATTAAATAGAAGGAGCAGATTGGATATTGAACTTGATCTCTTTATTTCTTACAAGTATAAATGTTGACCAGCTCAAAGAAAGCGCTTCAGCTAAAAATATATTCATAAGTGGGATAACAGTATCCATATTACGATTCAGGTGATATAGTAAAAGAAAACAAAAGGCAGTGAAAATAAATTATCTGAATAACAATAATAATTATAATAACAATAATTATAATAAACAGTGTCAAATTAGGATTCATAAACCTTTTTTGTTTGCTTTCTTTCTTTTGTGAAAATTCCTTTAAAATTGTCCATAAGCAAGAAAAAAAAAAAAAAAAAAAAATTCCAGCATATTTTCATTTAAAGTTGCGAAGGTGATTTCCCTTGCCGGGGACGTCCCCATCGGTCTCACACATTTACAATATTCACAGTTACTATAAACCTGTTCGGCACATACTGAGCCACACTGCAGTCAGTCAGGCTGTCAGCGGCAACAAAACTATGAGGTGCAATGACATTTTTGTGTTTACATGTGGGTGCCTGGATGACAGGAAGCAGAATATCGCTCTCTGTCTTCCACAATCAAAATAGGTACCTATAGATAAGGAGTAAAAAGGTTGTTTCCTCCCATGATACATCTGTTCTCCAACATACCATTGGCATAATCAATCAAGAGACAATCAAGATGAAGACACACAAACTGCATGTCTGTAACATTGTACACACTGTCCTCTAGTGAGTCCTCAGTTCACACAACCATCTCAGGTTCCCCCAGTGTTCCTGTACGTTAGCCCCTCTCCTCACCCTCTCAGCCCATGGCCGTCACCATGTTAGAGTGGTGCGGGTGCCCAAAGGAGGGGTGTATCGGGGTGGGCGTGGGAAGCATATGTCCAGAGTGGCCGAAAGGTGGCAGGTGGCCCATGGACATATGTCCGGCCAGAGAGCTGAAGGGGGAGCTCTTGTCGTGCAGGCTTTTGGTAAATTCCTCATAGCTGTCGCAGCCCCGCTTGGTCTTTTTTGATTTGTTGGACATCTTTCGGTTGCGTGTCTGTATTCCCTCCTTCTTCATGGTCAGAGGCCGGTTCACCTGTGTGGAGAGGGAGAAGTGAGGAGGTGAGGGATCTGGTGAAACTTTGGAGGGAAAGTTCAAACCCAGAAATTAGGAATATTGTGTCAACAAATAGTTTAAGTTTGCTATGTCCTTAAAGGATAACAATATTCTATATTTTTGTTGTTGTCCAATCCCATGAGAAGACCAAAGCTGCGGTCGAACAGTCTTTTTTTCTTGGGAAGGTTCCTATCTAACGTATATAACGGCTGAATTACATGAGGCATGAGCGCGACCCGAAGTGACGCCACCTGACGCATTTCGTAGCTTTCTTACCTGCTACACAGGCTCTGTTTCTTTAGCATGTGGTTGCTGCCATCTTCACTGTGTGCATATTGAGTCTTTTGACAAGTAATAATGCAGTTGTTTTTGCAGGGTTTGGAAGCATCCACTATTTAAACTTGTACTGAATCAATTAACTGGAGTGTTTTAACAACGAGATGCATTGATTTGATTGATATATTTTAATGTGAAACGTAAAAACACACACAAGTTGCTCTACTGCTTCACATTTCTTCACATTTCACTGAGGTATTCATTTTATCCATCTTTAAAAGGATTGATTCTGTGTAGTTTTTACCTGCTCGAGGGTCATAGAGAATTAAAACAGCCACGTAAAATTAGAGAGGAGCCACACAAGGCCCACGCGAGCATGTGCAGTTTCCATAGTCAGTGTAACCGCTTCAGTTGATTATAATGGACGGCTCGACTGTGGGCCTGTTGCAGCAAACATGTCGCGCCGCATCTGTGTTACATGTATTTCAGTCGAAAGCAGCAGCCATGATAAGAGCTAGTTGAATTCTCTAAATGCTAAGGAAAGGGGTTTCAATGCCTTTGTTATCTCCCCTACCTTAGGGTACATTGGACCATCCTTTACGAAAGGAAAGGAAATTTAAAGCGATGCACCATCTGAGTGTTCATGAAAACCAACGTGAACAGTCGGACCTATCTCACAAACATTTAATCTTTTTTTTTTTTCATAGAATCCTACTAAAACGGATTTATGTTGATAACTATGGGTGGACAGAGGGGTGGGCGTCAGTAACAGTTCTCGATATGACAGCCATGTTGTTTTGCTTCTGTCACTGGTCGTCTATATTCCTTCTTTATTTTAATTCCAACCATGACGTCATATGTTTCACCAGGTTTTCTACATTAATAAAGCCTGCATGAAACAACACGCAAAGTATCTACGATGTGCTTTTAGTCCTCCATCTTCAGAACATTGTAGTTTCACAGAACCAGACTCAAATCAACAACATCCGCTAATGCATAATTACGTATGTAAGTGAGACTGGTTGTCTTTTTTTCAGTCCTCATAAATTCTTGACCTTTTGACTCTTCGAGGTCAAGGGAAAGTGTTTAGGAAAACATATAGTACGTAATTTCTTTGAGTATTCGACCGCAGCTCAGAACCAACAATGCATTAGACCATCCCTGAGTACTTTTCTACTTTCCCATCCTGTCTGTGGCACTTAGCCCCAAACCCCTTGGTTCCCACTAAGAATGTAAATGGAAAAAAATTGGTTATTAGGGTATATTTTCAAATTTTTAAAAGGCTAAATAAGTCCCTAAAACAGCTGGGCACTGTAGTTTATAGCCAACTTTACATAAAGAAGAGTAAATAGTGCATTTGTTGGAGACTGTTTTCAGCTGTGGATTAATACACAACTGGAGCTGTAGTATATCTGACATCAGAACAGTGTAAGTAGCATTGTGTGGCTCCTTAAGGTTTTTTAATAGTTTTTTGGACAACAGTGGCAGTCTATGGTACAAGGAAATAAGCTTTTTCTGGCTTTCGCTACACAGACAATAATTGTTTGTGTGATTTATGGGATTTGTTAACAATAAAAAAAAGTACATAAAATATGATCAGATTCATCCTTTAAAATATCCATCCCCAGTCCCTGTTATCTATGTTGATGCCTCCGGTCTTAATGCTATTCATATGGAGCCTTGTGGCGGTCCCACTCAACAACAGTCCCACCATTGTGACTCTCAAGGGGATTACGCCTACCATGGAAACAATAAAGCACAAAGAAAGAAAACACCGACCAGTCCAACAGTGTCTGAGAGTAGAACGGCCCTCACTCTCACTCTCTCTTATCCCCCAACAATCAGAGTGACCTGCCTGCCTACTTCCCGTCTACTTGACCCTGCCGGGCCCAACTTGGCGTTAAGCAGTCAAAGACTTACGTTATGCAGTTTATAGTAGAGGCCGCAGGCATTGCACACGGGGTCTCCATTTGCGTTGCGCCGCCAGAGTGTGGTGAGGGTCGTCTGACAGTTAGCACAACAGGTGCCTGCTCGTCTGGCAGCAGACTGTGGAGAGATGTTAAGCTTTGATTAGAGCTCAGCAGCACAGACACAGCACAGGGCAGTTTGAGAACACATATAACAGTCTGTTTCTGTCTGTATGAGATTTGTTTTACTTTCTAATCTATTAACTTTTACTGTTTAATGATATTAAGGCAGGAATACTCTACTTGCTTTGCTCGGGGGCCACTTTTGCAAAATGACAGGAGGCTAGGGGCGAGATGCAGCAGCCCCGCACAGGTCAGGTTTACACAGAGGCATTTCTAGGATTCAAGAGTCTGGCTCTGTTTTTGATAAATAAACTCTATTTTGATGCCTCTTATATACAGTCTAGGACCTTATTTACATTCAAAGTACACACTATATGTATATATAGTAATGTGAATTAGAAAAAGGGCCACCTGGCACCCTTTTGCAGGCCGTAAGATGGTTATCACTGTATTGGGGCTACAACTAACAATAATCAGATATATATTACTTCATATATTAATTACTGGACTCATAAAACGTCAGCAAAAATACAAAAAAATGCAAATCACAGATTCCTGGAGGCCACAGTGACGATTTAAAATGTCTGGTTTTGTTGGATTAATAGTCCAAAACCCAAAGATATTCAGTTTACTATCATAAATTAGTAAAGAAAACAAAACATATTCACATTTGAGAGGCTGTAACCAGTAAATACTTTTAACTTTTGCTTTAAAAAAATGACTTAATGATTTATTATTACAATTGTTAATTAATCTTCTCTGCAGTGACAAATCGATTAATCAACTAAAGTTACCTCAATATTTTAACAGCAGATTTTAAATGAAAATGTCTGTACAATAAATCACGTGTGGAATCTTAAATACAAATATTCAGTTCACATGCACAAAGCTCAGTACTAGTTTATAAAGATTATATTATGCTAGGTCTAATTTCCAGGAAATGAATACATTAATCTGCACCCTCAGTTAAAACGTTCTTATCAGTGTATTTTCCAACAAACCATGAAATAACTTAGTTATTTTATTTGTATAATCATCACCCCGAAGTTATTTCCCCCATGAAAACTCTGAAAACCAAGTGCCCTGCCCTGCTGCGTCAAACATCAGCCTCCATAACTTGCCCAACCCTTTCTTTCTTTCTAAATGTTCGCTGTGTTGCGCATTCTGTGTGGCTGAGGTGGAGGTGGACGCAGAGCTTGACCACTGTGAGCTGAGGTCTGAGCCTATAGTTAGGAGGCCGCAGGAGGAAACAGGCGCTGGCTCCGCTGCTTTATCTGGACCGGTCAGATATCCGGACAGGAAACAACTGGAAGGCTGCTGCCACTGAACACAAGGCGCTGTGGAGCACTGCGAGCTACGGAAACCAGGCCTGATATATGGCTGTATTATATGCTATTATGGCCAACAGACGCTGAAATGAAACGCTCATATATTTTGTGTGGAACAGACAGCTGTGTGCGCACAGAGTCCTGCAGGTCAGTAGCGATGGATGAGAGCTGTTTGTCGCAGCGGTGCAGACTCACATCAGCCCGCATGCGTCAACAAACACACTGACCAGGTCGATACAAATCTGTTATTTTTCTGAATGTTTGACTTTAAATTATAATCCCAAAATTCGCTTAAGTATGTCTTTTGTCAATTGGAATAATATTTTCTCACCGGCAGCCTTTTGTCGATTGACCTTTTTCCCTTAATTACCGTGTAGATGCGCACTTTTTTCTTGTACGTAATCATATTAGATTAAATGCTGCTTTTGTCTCTATTGTCTCGCTTTTTGCAAGCTCATTCGTCCAGGATTCCTTCAATAAATCTATTTCAAACCATTTTCATAAGTCTCATCATGGCCCAGTGCCGTACACACTGTTAATAGAATACCACTGATTTAATGAGCAGTGTCTGTTGACTCTGCAAATACTGTCCTCATTTCAAACACAGCTGGTGCACATGGTTACATGAATACACTGATGCTGCAAATACAGGCTATTGCTTTATTTTGAAATTGTTCAGAAAATGACCAAATAGGAGGAATAATTATTTTGTGTCAATCATTATTTTAGCAAAAGTCCCAAAAAACGCCATATATATTTTTAAATAGTTTATAGTATGCTTGATGCTTCTAGTATTTAATTCAAATTATATTTCATTAAGGTTGTGACTCCCCCAGCCAGGTAGAACATTTGCAATCAATGGTTTATGTGTTTAAACAGTTTTAAAGTGTGTCATGAGTGTGACATGTGGTATCTGACTCCCAGAAACATTGAAGTTTGAAGCAGTTCATGATGGGAAATAACTCCCAAACTGCTCTGTCCCCTGCAGAGACAGACTCTCACTGCCCTTTTAAAAAAAAAAAAAGTCAACTTTTCATGAGGTGAAGGTTGGTGACAATATATCTTTACAAAATCCAGTGGCTTTTTAATGGCTTACATTTTCTCAACCAAAAAATGAACACTTTATTTTTTGGTTTATTTAAAAAATTAAAACATCATCATGCATACACATTGTTTTCGCTGGACACTGACAGTCAGCTGCTCACAAGTCAAAATAAATTCTTTGACTTGCTCCACAAATTAAAAAAAGCAATCCACAGCAGCATTATGAGCCATAAAGTGTCAGCGAGGCCCTGTGTTGTTCTGAGGGATGGGGTGCTGGCCCTGCTATCAATGACAGTATCAGAAGTCGCAGTAATAATGATAAGAGAAACAACACAGATAGTCTCACTCTGCTCACAGCCCAAGCATGAAGGAGCAGGAGGTGAGCGACAAACACAATTCCTGGAAACTGATTGGGAAAATATAACTTTCCTGGAATTGTACCTCCTCCCCCTCTCCCTCCACCTCACACTCTTTTTATTTACTGCCACAACCACACACACACATTCACAGAAACACACACACACACTCATTCACTGCCCCCACTGATGGGACTCACCAGCCTGCGTTTGGGTTTGATGAGCGGTCTGTTCTGGCCGTTCATCTTGTGGTACAGCCCGCAGGCATTGCACAGGTAGTGTCCGGTGCTGTCACGTCTCCACAGGGGCGTCGAGGTGGCTCCACAGTTTACACACTCACGGCCCTCTGAAGAAGAACACACAGAGATGTTGGAGATATCAAATCTGATACCTGTCTGGAATACAAATCCACTCTGCCTTTTGATCTAGATTTTATTATTATTATTATTATGATGATTGTGTGACCAAATTGTAAAGATTTACCTTTTCTAACAGGAATTAATTTTACATTTACTGGCACTTTTCTAAATTAATTATGTGCATATGTGTGGACACAGTATAAGCAATGCATTTCCACATGCAGCACCTTCAATTATAAACTAAAGTACATGTTGTATTTAACTTTTATTACCCTCTGACTCTTTGTTTGTGAGGGTAAAGACAAAGAAACAGTGTCTTTGTGTAGTATACTGGAATATATTGAGCATTAACAGAAGCACACAACAGATAAAAGCTGAAGATGTATAATCAGTTGCTCTTAAACATCAGTTCAGCACTAATGCTTCACTCCTATAAAATATATGTCCTGTTAAACAACCTGATGGAGGAGAATATATATTTTATTATAAAAAAACAGAGCCATTTAATTTTACTTTCCAAAATAAATGAGTAGATGTGAGTTGGATACCTTTTACCCTTCCTCATGGGCAGAAAAAAACATTAAAAAGAAAATATGTGTAACTTTATAACACCAATCATCTCGTCATATAACCTAAAATTATAGTGAAGTCATAAAACTACATTTTGCAGCCAGTTAGCTCTTATTTAATAAAAACAAGTCACTCTGAGTTTAGGTCACCCTGCTCTGTCTCCCTGATAACAAACTGGTTAAGCACAGTCAGGCTGAAGCTGGGAGTCTCCTGCTCTGTAATCAAATAACAATCAGGACAATGTATTACTGTCTTATGTAACAGAGAAGAGACTCCTAGCCTAAATACTGAGGTTTTTGGCTCCGTGCACCCGCGGATCTTCCTTTCACACCTCTGGGCTGGTTCCAGTTCAGTGTGCTGCTGCAGCCAGCTCAGGCGTAATTACAGAGTCACGGTTAACAAAAGAGGATTATCAAAGTCGCTCTGTGTCGGAGGACTGTCGAGTGCTGGCTTAGGCCTCTGCAAACATGTAGTGGGGGAAAATACCATTATTTTATTATTATTATTATAATACAATTTCCAAAAATGATAAAGGCGGTGATGATGCTCAAATCACAGTCTGCACGTTGATGTTGCTGCGTTTACGGTCACACAGGATAAATAGAATCATAATAATAATCTGGTTATATTTGGAATATGTTAAATGGCTTTCACGGGATGTTTTTTTAATTTAATACATGTCTCTTTTAATACTCAAAAAAAATCTATATAGATAATTTTAGGCTCATTAAGAGTTGTGAGATAATAACCATAGATCTGCTTTGTTTGCTAAGATTCATAAACCATTTTATTTTAATTAAAAGGCAGTTTAAATGTGTTTATTTGTGTGTGTAGATTGTGAAATAATCCTCTTATATGAATATTTACAGAGTAGTATGAATTATGAATTTGGCACGAAAACAAAACAATACAAAGCTACATTATAGGGTTAATAAACTCATATTTGCATCACATATATATAGATATTATGTACAGTAGAGTGCTGCAGGATATTTTTTAAAATGCATTGAGCACTTCTATTGTCTCATTTAGTTTTAGTTTGGTTTAATTTCCACTGACGCTATAGGACACTAGATAACATCCTCTAACAGCCTACTGTGTGAATATTTTCAGATTTAATTTCTTTTATATTTGGGGACGAGTGTGAGGTGTGTTTTTGGTGGACTCACCGGTGCAGGACCGTGTTTTGCCTTTGTTCCTGGAGGTGAAGCCGGATGATGCTCCCAGCAGGCTGCCGGGGTGAAACAGACTGCTGCCGTACTCGTGCGCCGCTGGGAGAGAGTAGGTGGGATACGTCGGTATGGGGTGGTGGGTGGAGGTGGTCTGAGTGCTCATGGAGGCCAGGCTGCTCCTCAGCGGACTGGAGCCCTCCATCTTCATCCCCTCCGATAACGACGACACTTGGTATTTGATAGATTCCTTCTCGTCCATCCTGGTGGCGGAGGGAGACGCGGCCCCGGGGTCCGGTGATACGTCCTTTGGCGGCGTTGGAGGGAAAGTGTACAGATGCGGGCTGGAGTGGGACGGCGGCGTTAACGAGGACGCGGAGACCGTGTTTGAGTTGCTGCTGCAAGGGTAGACCGCGGAGAGGCCGCCGGGGGACGCGGAGCCCGGGTGGTGCAGGCTGGGCTTGCTGAAGGGGCTGACGGCCCAGGCGTTGTGGTGGTGGTGCGCAGACAGGGCTGCTTTGCCTCCGTCCAGCCATGAGATCCCCGGGCTGTGGATGAGAGTCCCCGTCAGACGAGCTGAGAGACGACACAAAGAGCAGACTATTTATTATAGATACAGGTGATGACAGGCTGATTCAGCATTTACAGAAACTGTGGGGTGTTTTTACGTCGCGTGGAAGTGTGGATGCAAAAATAACCGAGACTTGTTGATTCACTGGGACACTGCCTGATTTAAACTTGCAAATAAGGTATACAAATATCACACAAATCCACAAAAATAAACCACAATTAAACAAATATTTACTAAACTAAAATATGCATTGAAAACATTAATGCAATTGCATGCTTTTTTCTTGGGTGATTCTATAACATTTTTAAATCACAAAACTGTATTTAAATTCATTTTATTAGACTCACGAGCAGGAAATGTAGTTATGCACAAGGCCAGAAAACATTTTAATCACATTTTAATCTATGTTTCAATCAGCAGAAAACTGTCACACTCTGACTGAGATAAAATGACCTGCCAACTATCATAAAAACTAAACTACACAGGCGATTATTTACAGAAAAATATCCACTTTTACTTTACAGCTGATATTTTTCATGCTATAACCAGCTACGAGTTCCTTCCCTAAGTTGCACCGTTGTGTCACAGCTCCATCTTACCGTGCGTTTGGCTGTAGGACACCCTGGCCCTGGCAGGGTTGTGGTAATACGGGTTTCCCTGTGAGTCCAGGTGATTAAAGAAAACATCCACCTCATCCGGAGGCAGCAGCTGCGCCGTGGGCTCCATGTAGTTGTGCCCCAGGCTGTGGTGGTGGTGAGAGTCTGGGTGTTGTCCGTTCAGCACGGCGTGGTGGTGCATCCAGCGGGGCTGATCCGCCGCCACATCCATCTCTGTGGCTTCTCTGTACGCGCGCTTTACGCAGAGTGAACCAATATCCAGGGAGAGGACACAAGATGGTCTGAATTATGTGTCCCTTTACGAGATCTTCACTGTGTCCATTTACAGTAGAATACTAGTGTTTTGTTCTTGTGTTTCCTCTGACTTTAATTCCTCTCCTCTCCCGGACATGGAGTCGAGTTTGACACTGGAAACCTGCAACAAGCAAACATCAGATGTTAATATTTTAAAGGGTGTTGATGTAAGCATCAGTGCTCTGGACGCAGAGCTCATGTGGTGCAACTTCAGATTAAAAAAAACATCCCAGCCACCATATTTACTACCACATCACTCTCCTCACTACTCATCCACAACGCCTCAACAACACCACTCATATGCTTCACCCAGCAGGACAAACACGCTGTACCTTTCTCAGTCTTATTTTATCTACACACTTCGATCAGCTCGAGCCTCTTTGGAAAACTGTCCCCTTCTGTTTTTAGCTGCTGCTGCAGGTCCTCTCCACTTCTCGGCTGGTGTTTGTCAGAGTGAACTCCGTCCACTGGGACTTAAAGCAACACGTATGACTGTGGCTGACAGCGCGGGGCCAGGCTTGTCAAGCAGGGGCGGAGCCCCCATTAAAGCTTGGACTCAGCCAATTGCACAGCACCTCTGCAAAACCTCAGAGGCGGTTCCCTCCACACCAAACAATCTCTGAGATGCTTCTATGTGGAGAGACAGGCCTGTAGTTTGACTTTGTTGTACTTTTTGGAATTGATGTTATATTTCCCCATAATATGACTTTTATTTTGACAAAATTACATCATATGTACACCTTGATTCGAAGCAGAAAAGTCCCAAATTGATGCATAAAAATTCACCTGAGTGCAGGATGTCAGTGAGGATTCTCAGTCATCCAGGTCAATGTAATCTTCAGTGCTATATCATAGGCAGCTGGACTTCCTTAAGATGTTTCGCCTCTCATCCAAGAGGCTTCTTCAGTCCAGAGTGCAGGAAAATCTAATGTTTGATGCTCAACATTTTCTTTCCCAAACCCCCCTTTCACGTGTGTCCCCCTCAATGTTGAAACAAAACCTACGCCCTTGCATTTCAGTATATATTCCACAGCCTGGCAGCCACAGACAATGATTATTATATCTAGCAACAGTGAATTTAAATAAAAAATCCCACTGTAAACACACCAGCTGGAACTACATGTCAGTAATACCCACCTCTTTTCATTGTACTGGATATATTTTAATATTTATCTGCTGTTTGGAGCTGTTTTGTAACCCTACAGTCACACTAACTGCCCCTAACACACTTCATCTCATGCGCCAAAGAAACTTTAATCAGTGAAATAAATGTGGAACAGTTCCTTTAGATGTGGCAATGTCCCTGCACATTAGTATTGTTATAAACTAGAGTAAACAGTCTGAATAAATATTGTGTTACATAAAACTCTCCACTAATGATATTAGTTGGATAAGGTTAATTATTCACCCATTTATTTTATATTCAATTGGGGAAAAAAGGAATTTAACGTGAGTATTTATTGGCCTGATTTCTTGTGTGTTGTTTTTTATACAGTTTAATGGTTAAAAAGTTCAGACTGCCTTTTCAGATCTCTGTCCCTGCCTCCCCTCCTCTCTCCTCGCGCATGATTGACAGACAATAATTGGAGAGGGAACGCGTGCAGCCCCGGCAGGCCTACGCTGCCGCCTGCTAGACGCCGTTTCCTGACGTCAGTGCATCTTAGAGAAAAGAAAAAAAAAAATCAGGATCAGGACATGAACTTTTTCAAGAGAGAGAGAAGAAGAGAGAAGGAGTGAGAGAAAGAGAGGGAGAGGGGTTGCCCGGAGTCTGCTGCAGTCCCAGCGGATGAACTCGAGGAAGGACACTGCAACTGATATTTACACTGTGGCAGCATTAATAATACATCAAGTACATCCTCGTGACTCTGCTGAGATTTCCACGAGCACATGCGTGGCAAACTACAGTGCCAAGGTGGACTATATAGAGATTACAGTTCAGATTATGATCAGATTAGATAACTCAGATGTTGTCAGTGTGAAAATTCCTCTTGCATAAACACACGCAGGCAAACACGTTTCGTTTACGCACATTTTTGCGAGCTATGCAGGAAAAAATGTGGCAAAGCATTTCGATCATCTTGAACTCTGCAGTTAGGGCATTAACGCATGGACAAAATTAGAAAATAAGGAGCTTGCTGTGCACTGTTTTTCAGAAACTTTTTAATTGGAATTTGTAGCTCTGCACTTGCAAAAAAAGTCCAACATGTCAGAAAAGTGCAAATTTGATCTATCTATCTATCTATCTATCTATCTATCTATCTATCTATCTATCCCACAGTAACAGAGTTTAATAGTCCCACTCCAAGTCCATGATATACTGCAGCTTTACATGATTAATATGTTCAGATAAATCTGTTTTCTTTCTTTATTTATCTATTTTTTTAAACCAGGCTGCAACGTAAAGAGCTGAATGTCATTATTTACACGGAGACAATGATTTCTTTCAAGCAGCATTAAGAGGAAATCCACCGTACAGGCTGAAGAAAAGCGGAACACACTGGAGGGACGGAGAGTGTGGCAGCATTAGAGCTCATCAGCATGATAATGTGCAAATACACATGCTTTGAGTGTGAGCCCTTTTGATCTGGCGTGGCGATAAAACCTTATCGGCGGCGAACATCCACTTCCATTTTAGGATTTGACATTAATTCAATCCGCCCCTCTTCTTCTTCTTCTCCTTCTCCTTCTTCTTCGTCTTTTTCTCACACGAGCTGAGGAGAAAGAGAGAGGTCGCAGCCTGATTCAGCTCTGGGAATCTCATTATGTGACTGCCATTGAAAGGAAGTGGTTTTACCCCATAATAAAGATAAAAATGAAATGTCACTGTGTATTATACAAAAAATGACAATAGATAGGTAATATAGACGTTTAGTGTGAGTATTAATCTTAATGACAGCCTAATTACATTTAAGTAATTATTTTTATCACACTAATATAAGCTATTGTGGTGTTTATTTGCTTGTTATAAATATTTTGTATGCTTTTCTGCACTAGGAGCACCTTACACTGACGCGTGCATGTGTGTGTGTGTGTGTGTGTGTGTGTGTGTGTGTGTCTCCCCCAGATTGAAAGAGAAATCCAATGCTGCTAGGATCCTTGGGTCCCTCTGATTATAACCCATCCCGGGGTAATTTTTCATCGGTGCTGGCTAATCTTTGTTCTTTGTGAAGATAATAAATAGCCTAATCGTTATCAGCGAGCTGCTGGAGGTGTCGGGGAGAATGGGGGCTGATCGGCCCAGGAAATAGGCTCCAAAGTGCCGCGGAATAAATGGCATTTCTTATCTCTCTCTCCCAGATTATCGCCGCCTTTTCAAACTCGCACAACAAATACATCTAATGCAGGGAATGCATCATTTACTGGAGCAGATCTGTGTAAATGATAGATAGATAGATTAGAGGAAGGGGCCTGCACAGAGGAGGGGGGAGAGCATGGTGTTGACTATTATTTACAAGTTAAATGTTGTGCATGTGCAAAGTCTTTATTCGGTGTATTTTCGACAGCATAAATACAGCTCGCTTTTCCCATTATTTTTTTAGGTTATCTGTGGGAGCCATCTGAGGTTCCGGTTCTTTTTTGTGGTATCTTATTTCTTTCATGTTGGATTTTGCTGGATAAGAGTTAAACAGACGCAGCCGCTTCCACCCACTGAGAAAAATATATTTGAATGATGTTTTCATGTGTTGGGAATTTTTTGCAAATGCCAAATGCGAGCACACGGTATTAAACCACGGGTGTAAAGCGGTCTGGTTACAAACAGGCCGTGTTAGATGTTCTTGATATTTGAAACTCATAGGCCAGGAGTGTGGGATTGATTTTATTTTCATTTTATTTTTTTTATCATAGTCGAAATCTTCCAGCACTTTATGTGGCTGTTCCTGAAGCATTGTGTTTCCTGACATCATGAAAACAGCGAGGATGATTTGATTAGGCCACTGAATGAAGTCAAAATTGACAAAAATTTCTTACCATAACCCTTTATCTCTTATTTTTATAAAATAATTTCCTTAAAACATAGACCACATTTCAATTAAGAGAAACTTAATTACCAATTTCTGGTGTCTTAGAATTAAAAAACACTTCATGATTAAGGAAAACATCTTGAAAAAAAAATCCCAACTCAACATCCCCCCCCCCCCCCCCCCCCCCCCCCCCCCCCCCCACACCACCACCACAAAAGCTGTAGTTGCACACTTCACACAAAGGTTTACAAAATCAGTGTCCTGTAGGCACAAAGAATGAAGAGGAGCCCATTGTAGTGTTAAAGCATTGTGCATGAGTGTGTGGGGAGTAGTGGCCAGTTATGGCAGAAAAGGTATTTTTCCATTATATACAAACTGGATGCTTAATAACTTGCCAGCTGCAGCAGCCCTGGGTGCTGCTGATGGTCTCCAGGGTAACGCAGATAACAGCGCAGTCATTTTCCATATCTTACAGTCTATTATATTCAAGGATTAGTTCTCCTTCCCGAAAAGGTCAAACATAAAGTCAAGCCAGCCAGGAGTGCTCCTCCTCCTCCGCCTCCTCCTCCTCCTCCTTCACCCTACAGTGACAGAGCATTTCCCATTTTTTCATATTATCTAGTTTAACCAGTGTGATGACCTTCGCTGACATGCTTTGATAGATGCACACCTCCCACAGTAGACAACAAACCTCCCTGGATTCTCCTTTCAGGACTCGAGTGTTTGTGGTGTCGAGTGGGGTTTGGTTAACCATCACTGTGCACTGTAATTTTCTGTTACACTTGTGTCTTATCCCTCTAGAATCATCCCTTCTTCACCTCTTTTACTCACTGTGACCCAAACAGTGCTTATTTTTGACTCATGAGACAAAAACAAAGATGTGATTTGTGCAGTGCCTTCATCCATCATCATATGGATCTTAAGGTTTGAGTATTTCTGTGGCAGCAGCCTGATGGTCCAGGAGCTGTACAGTACAGGCCAAAAGTTTGGACACACCTTCTCATTCAATGCGTTTTCTTTATTTTCATGACTATTTACATTGTAGATTCTCACTGAAGGCATCAAAACTATGAATGAACACATGTGGAGTTATGTACTTAACAAAAAAAGGTGAAATAACTGAAAACATGTTTTATATTCTAGTTTCTTCAAAATAGCCACCCTTTGCTCTGATTACTGCTTTGCACACTCTTGGCATTCTCTCCATGAGCTTCAAGAGGTAGTCACCTGAAATGGTTTTCCAACAGTCTTGAAGGAGTTCCCAGAGGTGTTTAGCACTTGTTGGCCCCTTTGCCTTCACTCTGCGGTCCAGCTCACCCCAAACCATCTCGATTGGGTTCAGGTCCGGTGACTGTGGAGGCCAGGTCATCTGCCGCAGCACTCCATCACTCTCCTTCTTGGTCAAATAGCCCTTACACAGCCTGGAGGTGTGTTTGGGGTCATTGTCCTGTTGAAAAATAAATGATCGTCCAACTAAACGCAAACCGGATGGGATGGCATGTCGCTGCAGG